GAAGAGTATTGAATATACCATGGATTACCAAGAGAACTAACAGGTCTGTCCTGGAGAGTGTGAAATCAAGCTACTCCTTGCTGGCAAGAATTTTGAGGCTCTGTCTCACATACATTGGACATGTTTTCAGGAGGGACTAATCTTTGGAGAAGGTTATCATGCTTGGAAAGGTGGAGGGACAGTGCAGGAGAGGAAGGCCCTGGATGAGATGGATTGACAAAATGGCTAAGATATGAGGGTAGATGTGTCAGAGACACTGAGATTAGGTCAGGATAGAGCAGGGTTTAGAGCTTTATGCATAGGGTCGTTATGAGTCATAGCCAATGGCCACATAACAACAGCAACAAGAAGCAAACAATCACATGGTGCTATAAAAGGAAATACATTGAAGGTACAGAAGCCTGGAATATGAGGTTAAAGTATAGCTAGAGTAGTCTTATAATGCTGTATTGAAAGCTGAGTTTGAGCAAAGGCCTAAAAGAAGCATAAAATTATGTTATCTCTATAAGAGTTATCTCTATAAGAATATTCCAGAAAAGGGCCAATGACAAGAGTAAGCTAGCACATTCAAGGAGCAATTAAGAGACCAGTATGGCATCATGAAAAGCACTGAGAGAAACTAGTAAGCAATGAAATTTAAAAGATAATTGAAGGCAGTGATTTTCAGAGGTAATCCTAAAGCCATATATTTCTACACAGAAAAGTCATTTAAAGGTTTTGAGCTGAGCAATGGATCCTTGAATAGGTTTTAAAAAGGACCACAATTTCTGTGCTCATCAAAAACATTTCATACAGGGTGGAAAGAAAACCTACTGACTGAGAACAAACGTTGGCAATAGCGTCTCAGATAAAGGTCTCATAACAGAAGTTTACAGACTATGATGGGCAGCTGGCTTGGAGGCTCCTGTGGAGTGGTTCCACTCTAGAAGAGGATTTCTTGCGTCTTGATGAGGGTCACGTGAGGAAGGTTTTAGGCTGTGCTATTGGCTTATTTCTCCCACAAGCGGGTGTCAGCTGACTAGACTTTTTCCCAGTTTCAGAGGGTCTACTTGGTTTACAGTCAACAGCATTTGTTGGGCATGCCTATCTTTAAAATTAAGTAACTAGGGGATGAACATTCTTTAAGTGGTACAGCAATCTTTGTCTATTTGCTGTACTGAAATAACTTGGAGTTGCTGTGGTGCTGAACACTGTGCTATGATTGTATCAAATACCATAATGGCCACTCATCATGACAGAGTTCATGCTCAACTCAACTCAACGGCAATCAACAAAAACACAACACAGAGTATCCAGAAGACTGATAACTAAATTACAAAATGGGCAAAAGTCATGGAAAAAATTTTTCACAGAAAAATATGGCCAACAGACACATGAAGAAATACTCAAAGTCACTGTCATTAAGAAAGATGCAAATCAAAACCAAATGAGATACCATCTCATCCCAGTGGCAATGGCAAAGTTTAGTAGGGCAGCAAGCAATATATGTTGGAGAGGTAGGATCTCTCATATATTATTGGTGAGATGAAACCAAGTACAAGAAGAAAGAAAGACATAGAGCTTCGAGACATTAAAAATTCAATCGAATCTATAAAACAAACAAAGGAAGAAATAAAAAGAAATATTATGACTCTGAAATCATTTAGTTTCAAGCACACCTGCCATGGATTATTTTCTGCAACAAAAAGACTATTTCATTATTTTCCTCCTGATTTTGCTTCAAGTCCTAGTAAACTTCATGTTTAAATAAAAAAAAAATCTAATACAAATTCAAACAAATTCTTTCAATTTCCCTCACCCCCCACCCATCAAATTGTACAATCCAATGGTTAATCCCCTCTTCCCCCTGTACACACATCCCTTTGCTTCCAGGAACCCTTTAGAAGGCTTCTCGTGGCTTCCTTAACCATCTAGCCTCATTTCACCTCTATTCTGACTTCTTTCCAACAAAGTGGGAGAGCAAACTTCAGCTTTGTTTTAATGTAGTAGTACTTGTGCCCATGAAACTCAACATACAAATATAACTTGAGAAGGGGTTGAGTATTTTTGAAATGAGATGGGGATAGCTGATGTTCTCTGTGTGGTGCTCAGGGTGAGAAAATGCCATGGGCTCAAGACCATGTGATGGAAATCATTTGAGGAAGCAAAATGTCTTTAATAGAGGAACATGAATAAGTGGATTGAATTAAAGAATAATGTGATGGGAAACTTAAATGCTACTTTTCAAGGAAACATTTACAATACTGAGTCACAGCAGTTCTCAAATTCTAATCCCCACCCTCCTCCTTGCCCCTCCTGACTTCGCTAAGGGCTGTGACCCTCCCAGTTCTGTGCTGCTGCTGCTGCTGCTGCTGCTGCTGCTTCATCAGTCTCTAGGGGCTCACTGACCAAGGGAAGGAGATGTGTTGGGTGAAGGTCCTGCCTCTCCACCTCTACCCACCCCTTCCTGGTAAGTGGAGGACTAGTGGACATTACGCCCCATCTTCATGGTAAAAGCTGTCTTCATGAGAGCATCTTCAAAACTTCTGAGTTGAGAATTTAAACTACAACATGTTAAGTCTGGACAGGGGCCCAAAGGGACAAATGAAGAATTCAAATGCTGATAAGAAGAGCAAATGGCCTTGCCTGCCTAGCTAAGCTAAGAGGTGGACCATAAATGACAGTGGACTGCAACTCCCTTTCTTCCTTAAAGAGTCTGTTATAAAAACCCTCCCCAAAAAGTTCGGGCGGTGACGTCCTCATTCTGCAAGTCCAGAATGAGGAAGCTCACCTGGGAACTCCCTGTTCCCCTCCCCTTTAATAAAGCTGTGTTAAGCTTTCTCTCCTTCTCTCTGCTTTCTTCCTTAAGTCTGCTAACTTAACACAAAATTGTGTGTCATCTTAGAACTAAGTTTCACTGTGTAGGCAATTGATAAAGTACAATATGTGGGACAGACATTTATTGGTGTAGTGTTTCCTCACAGATCATGCTCCCACAATCGAGGCTACTATTGTTACTTTACTGTTAGTGGCATTTGTGTACATGTACTTTTTTTGGTATGTGTTCCTTTTTCTTATGTTATGCCTCATTTCCATTATGAGTCAGTCTACAGTCTCTTTTTCTTTGATACTCTTAACCCAGGAAAGAGAGATTAGTTTTGCATCCAGGGTCCTGAATAAAATGTGTTGAATAAAGTTCTTGGCCTCTTGGCTATTGTCTGTAGAGTTAGAGTATAAATTGTGCAGAATAAATTGCTCATCTCCTTTCTTCACTTTAGAAAAATTGTTTCCTGGATCTAATTTGGTTAGGGAGATGTTTTGCATTTAAATACATATATTGTATGCGATAAGGGTTTGTTTAGACATTGTAATAAGTTAACTGCCCCAGGAAGTGGTAATTAATGTCTGATTAATTAATGATGGTCTGAAAAATAACCAATGTAATTTGTAAACTTGTCACTTAAAATAGACTGTTTTTTAAATATACACGTAATATATAAACAACAATAATTTAAAAGGCAAACTGCTGAGCATCCTCACTGTTCCACACATAGACAAACTTATCAAAAAATGTAAAAGGATTCAGCTAAGTTGTCCCCCAAATTTGAGACCCTGTGGTGTATGTGCCAGGCTCTGTAGATAATCCAGTTTAATTTTTATCCCAGATTTGTATACATACCTCTGACTATTACTGAGGAAAGGGAAGGTCTGTTTAGAGAAACACTAACAAAATCACCTGGAGTTCAAAGAAGGAGGAGAATTTAATTTCTCACTTGGAGAGAATAAGGAAAGCTTTAATGGTGCATGCATTGGACCTTGAAAGAAAGACAGATATACATAAGTTCTAGGTTAGAGGAAGTTTTTCCAGACAGGTAGAGGGCAGAATCACTGTAAAGGCATGAGTGTTAGGAAGAATTTATGGTTAAAACTTAGGTAAAAATAGAGGCGTAATGTCCCCTGGTTCAATTAGAGAGCACTCTGGTGACTAGGTTCGAAGAGGGTTGTGCAGCTAACTTACAGAGCACACCTCTCCAGTGGTTTGGATCCACCAGTGACTCAGAAGGAGAAAGATGGGCAATCTCCTCCCATGTCAGTTATAAATTGGTTCCAACTCAATGGCAATGAGAGGGAGAACAATTAGAAGTTTCAAGGTTGTATGAAAGGTAAATTTGAGAGAGGATAATAAAGGCAATTTTAGTGATGATAGCTAACATATATATGACGTACTTGCTCAGATGCCAGGCGTCTTATAAAGCATTTTGTATATGGAATCTCTTTTAATCTGGAAAGGTAAGTCAGCATTTTTGTTGATGGGTTGTTCAGGAAGAGCAGTATGTTCAGAGCTTGCTAAAGCAGATGTCCATAAAAATGAATCACAGGAAAGGTGGATGGCAGGAGGAGCCTTCAGGAGGCCATTTATGTTCTCCACAAAAATACAATGAGAACCTGAATTATTCCAGCATGAATATATGAAAATATAAAATAGAGTTGTCTTAAATCAGAATTCATTCCAAATTTTATATTGCAGTCTCTTCTAGAAATTGTGTTTTCTAACTCAAAAGACTTGAGTCGAGTCTTGAGGATCTCAGTGACTTTCACTCGGGCCTGAGTCCCTTAGGAGGATATGAAAAACCACAGTAAAGGAGGTTATGGTTCTTTGTGTTGCTGTAAGTCCCAAAGAGAAACTTCTCTAGTCACTACTTCAGAACGTGAGAGGGAGCTTGGACCTCTTCTTTATTTTCTACATTTATCTCTTCCCACTGGATTGATAGGTCAAGATTGGATCATCAAATCTTTAACTTCCTTACTCATTTACATGCCAAAACAAACAAAAGCCAACCAAATCTATCAACCTCAGCTGATTCTATAATGACTTCATTTGCTGGAGAATATAACTGTTATCTTTATGTAAACAGATTGAAAGGCCTTTCTCCCAAGCTTCTATACACAGCCAAGATTCCTGGACTGTTTAAGTTTGAAGGTACTTTGGAATTCTAATGCTAACGTTAACTGTCTTGCAGATTCCATTGTGATTGGATTTTGGGTTGGTCTTGCAGTCTTCGTGATTTTCATGTTTTTTGTGCTGACCTTGCTGACCAAGACAGGAGCTCCACACCAAGAGTAAGTCTGATCTGTTCCCAATTGTCTGTTGAGTCCCAGAAGGAGCTGAAGAGATAAGCCAGTAGCCAGGCTTGGGGTTGCTTCCAGTGGCTGGAGAGTAAGGGTTGGATGCCTTCAGAACTAAATCCGCCTTCCTCCTGGCACTTTGACCTTTGCCTCTGGAACCTTTTCCAAGTGGATCATGTGAACGTGGGTTCTTTGGGCCTCTCCTTTCTGGTCTTGATGCTGAGCCATGCTTTATTTTATAATGAAATCTTGACTAGTTAGAATGTCTCTTATTCTTATTCTGAAAAGGCTTTTTACTATTCACCACAGTAAAAACAGTCAAAAAAGACAACAAAAATATAAGATTAAAATCATTTTTAAAGAACTTTTCACGATGCAGAGAAAGACTTATTACTGGATATGTAAGTAAATGGAGTATTAATAATAAGCATTGAATTGATTTGAAGCCAGAATCAAGAGAAACACTATGGATTATGTACTCCCATAATTTCATAACATATTTGTATTTCTTTAATTATCAGCCATTGAGTAGATTCCAAGTCCTGGCAACCTCATGCCAGAGTCAAACATGTAACGGTTGATGTTTTAGAAACAGATCAGTAGGTCCTTCAAGGCATTGCTGAATGGGCTGGAATCTCCCACCTTTTGTTTAGCAACTCAGCAAGTTGTGCCAAGAAATCTGGAGAACAACCACTTGGCCAACTGACTGGAAGAGGTCTATATTTGTTCCTATCCCAAAGAAAGGTGACCCAACAGAGTGTGGAAACGACAGAATATCATTGATTTCACATGCAAGCAGGATTCTACTGAAGATTATCCAAAAAAGACTGGAACAGCACATTAACAGAGAACTGCCAGAAGTCCAGGCTGGGTTTAGAAGGGGTTGTGGTACTAGGGATATTGTAGCTGATGTTAGATGGATCTTAGCTGTAAGCAGAGAATACCAGAGGAATATCTATCTGTGTTTCATTGACTATGCAAAGGAGTTTGTGTGGATCATAACAAACTGTGGCTGACTCTGAGAAGAATGGAAATACCAGAACACTTGATCGTTCTAATGGGAAACCTATACTTGGACCAGGAGGCAGTCATCAGAACAGAGCAAGGGAACACTGCATGGTTCAAAATTGGGAACGGTGATGCCAGGGATGCATCCTATCTCCATACCTTTTCAACCTGTATGCAGAACAGATTATCCGGAAGGCTGGGCTCTATGAAAAGAATTGTGGGGTCAAGATTGGTGGAAGATCTAGCAATAATCTGCGTTATGTAGATGACAAAACCATGCTGAAACTGAGGAGGACCTGAAGCACCTGCTGCAGAGGGTCAAGGACTGCAGCCTACAATATGGATTGAGGCTCAATGTCAAGAAGACAAAGATTCTCACCACTGGACCAATTGGCAGCATCAGGATGGATGGTAAAGAGATTGAGATTGTTCACAGCTTTAGTTTGCTTGGCTCCACAGTCAACACTCTTGGCACCAGTAGCAAGGAAATTAAAAGGCGCATTGCGATGGGAAAGTCTGCTGTTAGGGACCTCTCCAAAGTACTGAAGAACAATGGTGTCTCTCTGGAGACTAAGTTGAGTCTGATACAGGCCATGGTCTTCACAATCACTTGTTATGCATCAGAGAGTTGGACAATGACCAAGGAGGATAGAAGGAGAATTGATGCTTCGGGCTGTAGTGCTGGAGAAGAGTATTGAGAATACCATGGACTGCTAGGAAAACAAACAGATTCAACCTGGAAAGGGTTAAACCGGGTGGCTCCTTGGAGGCAAGGATTCTGATATACTTTGGACATGTTGTGAGAAGAGACCAGTCCTTGGAAAAGAACAACATGCTTGGGAGTGTGGAGGGACAGCGCAGGAGGGGAAGGCCCTGTACGAGGTGGATTGATTCAGTGACTGGGATAATTGGGATGGGAGTGTTGGAGACAGTGCGATTGTCACAGGACAGAGCAGAGTTTAGGGCTGTTGTGTATAGGGTTGCTATGAGTCGCAAGCGACTCGACGGCACATAACAACAACAACAGAGGATGTTGGTTCCTTAAAAAAACACGATGATCACATGTGGAATTAAAGAAAGTTGAGTAACATCATACTCCCATTATTACTTGGAGTTCTAAAGAATGTTACAGGAGGAAAAAAAGAATGTTACAGAATGTTGAGTAGCATTATAAAGTGGTGTGGTGGTGCGGTTTATTATTGTTAGGTCCTGTTGAGTTGAGTACAACTCATAGCAACCCTATGAACAAAAGATCTGAATGCTGTTTTGTCCTGCGCTATCCTCATACTTCCTGACACACAAGAGCCCATTGTAGCAGTCACCATGTCATTCCACCTAGTTAAGGGTCTTCCTCTCCTTCACCGACATTCCACTTTCCCCATCATGTCCCTCTCCAAGGAATAACCCCTCCTAGCAACATGCCTAAAGTATGTTAGGTGAAGCCTCATCATTCTTGCCTCCAAGGAGTACTCCGGCTACATCCTCTCCAAGACATCTGTGTTTTGGCTGTCCATGGGATGTTCAGTGCTCTTCTTCAACAGCACAACTCAAAAGTGTCAATTCTTTTTTTGGTTATCCTTATTCATTGTCCAGTGTTCAGATACGTATTTGTTATTTTTACAAAAATAAAAAACTGAAAGAACACCCCAAAATATTTTTGAAAATAATTATTTATCTCAGCTCTTGTACAAAGATAAAGGCAAAAAATAATCAATGTCTAATACTTTTCAGTTGGTTCAAATAGGTAGTAGCCATTGCTAGATATTTTTAGTTGTTTCCAACTCACAGAGTAAATGCTTGAATTGATAATTAAAATAACAAAAGGAGTATTCTGAAAGTGTGAACAGGGAGGAGAGCCACTTGATGGGATGGTGCCAGACCCAGGCTGAGCCAGTAGTGAGAAACAGGTGCCTTCTGAGATATGAAGGGATGAGTAGAGTGATGCGGGGAGAGAAGTGATAGGAAGCCAGGAGTCCTATGGAAAGGACTGCCTGAGAGGGCCTGGACCTTATTGTAGTTTTAGTGAAAGTTTACAGAAAAATAGTGTATTCATTCATTCATTTATGCACATTTCCTTCCCTTCCTCACTCTTCTCCCCCAGCTCACTTTGTAATGCACCTTTCTTTCCAAATTGTTGTCATACCTATAATGCCTAATCATACATTCCTTCAGACAGTCCTTCCCCTCATCTGTTCCACTGCAGTGTTCACTGTCTGCCCACTGTTTTCCTGTTCTATTCTCCCTCCAGCCCATCGATCCTGTTTTATTACAGTCTTGCAGTGTTTGTCTACTATTCTATGAGATGTGCTATAAGCAGCTTGTCCTCAGCTTTTCTTATGACTGTTACAATTTGTACAATGGTGCTATAACTACTGTTACCATATTTTCAAATTCCTTGAACCAATATAATAAAAAGAATGGCAAGTACAGATGTTTTTGAGGACATGAAGAGAGAAATGGCAAAGTTTATATCTTTTTAGTGGTTGTTAAAAGAAATTCTCAACTTTGCACCTCCATGTTCTTATTAAAGTGATATTTTCCTTTAATTGAAAATGCTAGCATTTAAACAACTTTTTTCCTAGACTTTGAGTTCTGGAAATAGCTAAGTGGTGGGCACTTGTTAGAGTGCAAGTACAGTCTTCAGGGTGAACAATGGCTGTCTGAGGCGGTGGGATGAGATGCAATGAAAGAGTGTGGATGAACACCCAGGTTAGCTTGAGCTGTTGTCAGAATGAGAAGGAATATTGGGAATTTGTACTAAGTTCCTGCCATTCCCTCTCTATCCGTCTCCCCCTCTACCTTTAAATGCATACAGGTGCTGGTTGTATTCTGCAGCTTGTATGGGAAACGAGAAAGAGAGAGTCAAGGGAGGTCTTGGGATCTGGGGTTTTTAATTGTAATTTTAGTGAAAATTTGCAGGAAGCATTCATTCATATTATTCATTTATTCATTCATTCATTCATTCATTCATTCATTCATTCATTGTTACATATTTCCCCCTCCCTCTCCCTCCCCTAGTTTGTTTTATAATGCACATCTTGTTCTGAATTGTTAATGTCCTATATACACTAATTATCCATTCTTTTCAGACAGTCCTTTTTGCCTATTCTATTGTAGTGTTCAGTATCCATTCATTCTTTTCCTGTTCCCACCACCCACTTCTCCTGTATACATCCTATTTTCATAACTTTGGTCTTATACAGTATTGTCTTTTTAAAATTTTTTTTAGTGTTTTGTCTTTTTGTGACTGAGGTATTTAACTCAGCATAATGTTTTCCAGGCTCATCCCTGTTGTGTAACGTTTTACAGGTTCATTTTTTTTCTCTGTTGCATAGTATTCCATTATGTATTTGGCAATGACATGTCTGATAAGGAACTCATAGCTGAAATTTATAGAAGACCTCAACAAGAAAAAAGGTCAAACAACCTAGTTACAAAAATGAGCAGAAAATATGAACAGACTAACTGAACTCAGATTATAACTCAGAAAATACTATTTTATTGAAGGATGTGGAGACATATTTTAGCAGGCACTGAAAAGATAGGGACTTTAATATCTTCATAAGCATCTGCACCTGCAGTTCCTTCTATTATAATGGCTCAGGGAATTTGAAAATATGGTGACAGTAATAACACTACTATCGTATAGTTTGTAACTGCAGTAAGAAAAGCTGAAGACAAAACAAGATTACAGCACATTTCATAGAGTAGGAGGGAATACCAGCAGCCTATTACCTTTTTCTCTGAAAGCAAAGAGGGACTTTTTAAGGGTTATTGAGATGGTTTTGTTTAATAGAGCAGTCAGGTGATTTTATGAATGAGAATACCCTAGTACAACACTGTCCCTGACTTATTAAAGATGTCATGGTGATCTTATGTAGTTGAGTCTTTCGATTGGCATTCAGTTAGAACGCTCCAAAGTCTTCTTGATTGTGGTTATGAATAACTTTTGCCAAAAAACAGTGGACCACATAACCCTACATGTG